CCCCTAGCACTTGCCTAAGCAGGAGCTTTTGACTTACATACTTTCAAAGAGTGATTTTTATCTCACCCTTTTGTATCTTAAGAAAGTTGATATTTAAAATAACAAACAATTATTACTAAAACAGGAAAGAATGGCCCCAATACAGAACGCAGCCAACCTCTGCAAGTCAACTGCCACGGGAAGGATCTCTGGGCCTGTCCAGTAAGGCTCCCCCTCAGAGGAAAGCAGAGCTGGGAACCCGAGAAGACTCTCCTACTTTCACTAGAAGTTGCCCACAAATGGACCTGGATGTCCATGAAATGCAGCGGTCCTGACTGTACAAGAGCCAGGGCACCATCTCACCTTTCTACCTGGCAGACTGAGTTCTGACCTCACCTGTCTAAGCTACGGCTACAGGTATGTTGTTGTGGGTTGAGCTAGAGACAAACTCCTACACACTTCCTGGTAACACTGTTGTAGGTAGCTAATTAGAAATCCTACAGACATACACAGCCAGACAGGGCCAGGCGCCCTCAAGGGGACAACATGGAAGGCAATGTGACTTTGCAACTTTGGGAGAGAAAGACACTCCTGCAGCTGGCCAGACCTCAACACAAAAGAGTAAACAGATGCAGCCACATAGTTCCCTGGGGATGACCATCAGGGATTGAGATTCTAAATAGGTACCAAGCACTTTGACAGAGCCAGAAAGTCACTAACCCAACCCCCAACAGGAAGAGACTCTGTTCTATATTCATGCTTGCTTGCTATATGACTCGCCTTCCCACTTGGTCCTGGATTTAATCCATTTTACCTGAGTAACGGTGCTTGTAACCTTATTGGTTGACCAGAGCTTTGTCCCACCTCATGCCCACCTAGCGAGTTCCCATGTTTCCCACCTTAGACCCGCCTCACTTCATGGTTTTACTCTATGAAAGTCCCTGGACTGTAAGTCCCTTGCAGCTTCCTGCGCAACCCACTTAGGTCCCCTTCTGTCCCTCTCTCAGCAGCTTTTTTTCCCCCAATAAATATATTCTGCTCTTAACCTCTGTTATTCCTAAAATTCATTCTTCATTTTTAGAGAACACAAATTCGGCCCAGTATTTTTCAGCTTGGGCGTTTCATTCCCCTATATCAACACCACACAAGGTTTAATCAAACAGCTGCAAATGGGAAAGCCTTTTATAAAACTTAAAGTTGAAGGCTTACAACTAAAAGAATTTCTCCTGATTTTTAGATGCCCTAAATCAGGGTTTGGTCAAAAGCTTTTTCAAGCTGACAATACATACTTACCTGCCAGCTGTTTTCTGCAGAAATTCCTCTTTGCACTCGAATAATATATTCCTAAAAAGAAGGGAGGGGAAAAAAGTCTGTTATAAAATCATAGAATTAAAAATGAGTAAAAATATCAAGGTAGATGTCAGAGGAAAAAAAATATATAAATTGCGCATCTTTAATATGAAAATCCAAAATTCTTTGAAACCTGAAATTTTTGAACCTCCATGTAATTGTTCGAAGTTTCAGATGTGGGGTTAGAGATGAAGCCCACTGGTAGAACAGCTGTCTAGGTTGTGGGAGGGAGGCCCTAGGCTTGGTCTTCAGCCTCCTCACCCTAAAAAAAAGTTTAAGATTTTGGCACCATTTGAGATTTTAAGATTAGGGATACCTAAGTGATGAAGTATATGCAAACACGCCCAAATCTGACAAAATGATCTTTTAATCCCAAGTATGTTGGGCAAGAGACACTCAAACTACCCCAGAGACTGAGACGCACAGGAACATGACATAAAGCAAAAGGGTGACCTACCAGGAAGACGCAGGAGCCTTAACTGTGCATGCATTAAACAACAGAACCATGACATGCAAGGCAAAAACTGAGAGACTGAAAGAAGAAAAAGATCAACACACAATTATAGTTGAAAACTTCCAACACCCCTCTCTTAGCAATGCAAAGAATACTAGAAAGCCAGCTAGGACACAAAAGAACTCAACAGCAGTATCCAGCAACAGCATTGATGGGGCATCCAGTAAGCAACAGAAGAACACAAATTTTTTCCAAATGATCAGGCGTCACAGACCAATTTAGGCCACATCCTGAGCCATAAAACGAACACCAACAAATTGAAAATGGAAATTAATACAAAGGTAACAGGAAAAATCTCCAAAATGTTTAAAAATAAACAACACATTTCTAAATAATCCATGTTCTAAGAGGAAATTTCAAGAGAAAAACAGTGAACTAAAAAAAAAAAAAAAGAATGAAAGAAAGAAAGAAAAATACATGGTTTGGGCTTAGAACATGATACCCCAAATGGCATGCTAAATACCTTGCACTCAGGGAAAGGAGATGAGTAACAAGATATTTCTGACATTTCCTGTCCTTTCTTCTTATTTCCTTTTCTTCTACAAGGTAGGCCACAGGAACTAGAGTTCCCCTTTCTCAAGGTTAGCCACAGAAACTAAAATCCCTCCACCCCGAAGCCAGCCAGAAATAAACTTTTTGATCTGCCTTGTCTGATGGTGGATCATAATACCCTCTTTTCAGAACAGTCCTACTATACACCTAGAAGGAAGAAATGCTCCATAGAGGAGTCGATAAGAATCTTAGCAGACTAGGGGCTGGGAGATGGCTCAGTAGAATAAGTGCTTGCCTGGCAAGCTCAAGGGCCTGAGTTCAATCCCCAGTTCCTCCAAAAAAATAAATAAATAATCTTAGCAGACTAGCCTTTTTGAGCTCCCCAGTGATCTCTTGCCGTAAGAACACACCCTTCGGTGCCATCACAGCTCAAAATGGCTGAATGTTCCTCATCACACGTAATCGTAAAGACAGTGTTCTCCCTGAGTCTTTAGGGTCTTTATTTTTGAATGCTCCAATAGCATGAAAAATACTGACTAAATATATATATTTTGTTATTCTCCTGTTCATTTGTGTTGGTCAGTGTTTACATCAAGCCTGTCCTGGAACCTTCGCAGAGATGAAGAAGCTGTTCCTGCCCTACAACAACACACCAAAATTTATGAGACACAGTCACGCTGAGAGGAAAAGGGAAGCACTAAATGCTTTCATAAGGGGCCGGAGAGATGGCTCAGTAGAATAAGCGCTTCCCTGACAAGCGCAAGGGTCTGAGTTCAATCCCTGGAGATAGATAGATAGATAGATAGATGAGATATGCTTCCATAAGAAAAGTATCAAATCAATAATCTTAACTGTCTCAAGAATCTAGAAAAGAAGAGCATAATAAACTTTAAGCAAATAGATGGAAGAAAATAAAAACAGGCAAGAAAACAAGAGAAAAGTCAATAAAATGAAAAACTGAATTTTTTGAAAAATAAAAGAGCTGACAAACCTCTAGCAAAGGCGACCTCTAGCAAAGAACAGAGCTCAGACATGAATCACTGGGGTCTGGAGTGAGGCCAGCTATCGCGTAAGTTCCACAGGCACCTAGAGGAGGAAGGAGCTGGGTGCATGGAGGTGCGCGCCTGTCAGCGCAGTTATCTGACAGGCTTCAGAAGACGCCGGTTGGGCAGCAAAGGCTGGTGAAAGCCACCAGCACGCACGTCGACTCACCTGACACAAGTGTTAAGGACGCGCGTGCAACAGCGCGCGCTCCATTGTGAATGAGTCACCACGCGCGTTGCGCCGGGCTCAGCCGCTTCCACGGGGAGCTAAAAATAGGCATTTCAAAACTTTTTGTATAGTGCCCCAAATCTCTAGCGATGTGTTAATGGAGCTATTTCTGAATATAAAGACAAAATGCTAGAAACTTCTCACCATCTTACACTGGAGGAATCAGTTCTTCGGGTTTAAAATGTTCTCTGCTCGGGTTATTTTACTGCCAAACTGCCTGGCTTTCGATATTCTAATAGTAGAGCTGTAAGTGAGCTCATTCAATTCCAAGCAAATAAGCAGACACATTTTTAAGTCTAAAGTAGGGGAAAATATTAAATCTCAAAAACCAGACTGAGCATCCATTGATTCATTTATCAGAGGAATAATATTAGTTTTAAAAAGTCCAGCTCCAAAGTGTGTGAGGGGGCTGGGGAGATGGTTGGGGCTGGGGAGATGGCTCAGTGGAATAAGCGCTTCCCTGGCAAGCACAAGCGCCTGAGTTCAATCCCTGGTTCCTCAAAAAAAAAAAAAAAAAAAAAAAATTATCAAAGTGTGTGAGCCCGGGGACACTGGCTCCTATTCCGCTTCTCTTCCCTGGTCCCCCCGAAGTCCACTGACCCAATACAGCCATAATTTCCTTCATAATGCCCACTCATCCAATAAGTATTTATCAAACATAAAAATACTTAAAACTTCCAGCTCTATTTTGGGCCTCCGGTAGGTGCTAGATAACCATTTGCTGGCCTGAGTGAAATACTTCTGAGTCCCAAGTTTGGAGACCGATTTTACAAGGATGCTGCTGCTGGGTAGAAATGCGGGCTAAGCACCTTTCATGTTCCACATCTAAGTGTTCTTCCTGTTGGAAATACAATTCTGACCAAGAAAAGTGAGATGTGACTACAAAGACAAGGTAAGTTATTGTTTTAGTCTGTACACAATTTATTTTATTTTATTTTAAATTTTATGTATGTATGTATGTGTGTGTGTGTGTGTGTGGCCAGCTCAGCCCACCAGGGGGCGGGGCTGGCTGGCATGTGGTGCTGGGGGATTGAACCG